TCCCTACAACTCAGACCATGACTGATGGGAATTATCCTGTCAGTATTGCTTTTCTTTAAGGAACTAAATGGTATCTATAACCTACCAAATTTCAGAGACTTTGCATCTGTCCCCTACTAGAATTCAGATGGGAGCATCTGCCCTCAGACTCCTCAACTTACTGAAGTCCCATTCTCTGTTATTTTAGTTCACTGAAGGGCTGACTCTAGCAAAAAAAAAACCTGTTTTCCCTTCCCAGGACAACAGAAGGAAACAAAATACAAGAGGGCTTGAGGAGATGAAGTGGAGTTAGTTAGTTTTTCCACTAGCAGCTGTAAAAGGGGAAGGTGACTCTGTGGGAGTGAGGCCATAACTGAGTGCTTTATTTCTCCCCTTTGCTCTATGCAAATGGACAATTTTTCAGTATAGATTCACTTTTATGGCTGGTGTCATAAAGTCAGGTCGGAATTTATTAATCTTCAGGACTTTTTTGTAAGGATGATTTGAGGGAAGCAGAGGTTTACAGGGGAGCAGAGCCCTTCAAAAGGGTCGGAGTAGCCTATGGTCTCAGATCCAATTCATCACTGCCTTAATCTGCTTCATTAGCAGTTTGAAAGGCTCTGCACACACTTTCTGAATGCCTAGATGAACAAAGCCATCAAGAGATAAGACTAAAGTACCTTGTAAAGATGAAATTATATTCTGTCTTTGGTAAGCCAAGACTTGTATGGAGATGCTGGACAAATTTGCGAGCTCTGCTCAAGTACCTTGAAAATCAAAGGCATTGCATTACTTTTGATGACATTGCTCCCAAAGAAACTGTCAGAGGTGAATGAAGCAAAGCAGAGTTCTGCTTCACCATGTAAGTTTTCTTCCAGCCTTTCCACTCCTGTGTCTTGCACTGCAAGTAATTGGTATTTTTTTCCCTCTGGCTCTGCATTGTGGTGGACAAAATGATTATCACTGTCATGTTATCTCAGATTAGACAGGTGTTATTCTCAAAGCTATGCTGTGTACATTAGTACAGATGTTGACTTCTTTTTGTTAAGATAGGAGAAGACACCAGGTTTGCATTTGGTTATGCTGTCACTGTGAATACACTAATGATGTTATACAAGAAAAATTGGAGTTCTGGTTAGTACATTTAATGGTGACATACTTTTGGGCATGAGGCTTTATCATGGAAAGTTTGAGAAAGCCGAAGACTTGAGGAGAGCTGACAGCCACTGTGATTAAGGTATTGTCCTTCTATCTTGTTCTATCAGTCAGGGCCCTCTGCAGGGACAACTGATTTCAGAGAGGACCTAAACCCTGTTTGTCATTTCCCTCTAAACTCTGTGGTGATATTGTCTGAGGTTATAGCATTGTCCTCATGAGTCCCTTATTGCAAACTCCGTAGAGAGCTCATCTCCAAGGAGAATTCACTACTCCTCAGGATCTTCCAGGCTGTTCATTTCAAAGGAAAAACTATAGAATGTTAGAACCCATGTGGAGAGGGCAAAGCTAGGGGTTATCAAATAAAGCTTTTGAGAAAGTTTTTTAATATGAAATTAACTTAATATCAGAACCAATTTTCATGTTATTTGGCTGATGCTGCTATTTATAGTTGAGACAATAGTGTATACAATTACTGCCTGGCAAATAAAGTAGCTAATGCTGATAAAATAATGCTATAATAATTCTTCTCATACATTCATTGTGAGTTGTTTTTTTTTCCCAGAGAACTGTCTGGTCTCTTCATGTATAATTGCTTTCCAAGTGCCCTGACTTTATGCTGTGAGATTGCATTAGTCAAATTTAAACCCTCCATTAGATGTCAATGAACTGTAAACATTGTGACCGCATGGTTATTGACCCAGGTGCAAATAGCCAATGCCCAATTTAAAGATTCAGTTCTGACAAATGGATTAGAATAATGAAAATATGCTGGGAAATGGCTGGGTGCTTCACTGACTAATTGAACAGGGTCCTTGCAATTTGCCTATGATTCTATGGTTTTTCACAGGTAAGTAACAAATCTGTCCTTTTTAATATTTCAGAGTTAACTGATGAAATTTCCTGAACTGAAAGGTACTTGTATTTTTCCTTTGGGACAATTTAAGCTAAATGCTTCATTCCCTTTGCACAGTTAGTGTTTGGGATTTTAATTTTTGGATTTTATTTTTTCAATGGAACTGTTTGAAGAACAAGACATTCCAGTTCTATTTTGAAGCAAAATGTCTGTCTGCATATATGCTATCATTAATCTCTGAGGAACCTAGTTTTGAATAAAATGAAGGCTAGTGCTTTCAGGGCCTATTTTAATTTCTTCCCCCCTTATGTTAAATAAAGATCTGATCTGAATAAAGAGGTGATTCAAAATAGATTTCAAACGGCTCTAGATCAGGTGTTACTGTTACTTCATTTACAGGATATGATCCTTTGTTAGCATTTTCCAAGTATTACTTATTTAAGTCTGGATTTTGAGTTCCTTAAAGATTTTAATCAAAAATCCAGCAGCCATACTGTAATCGGCTGGAGTAAGATGCTATTTCACTTCGGTGCAGTTTCTAAGGTGTTCTTTGCTCCTAGTTTGCATTTTGCATACATATGGGTAAATGGGATGATCTAATGCCTTCTATTACCTCTGATTTCTATTATCTAAATCATTTTAAATGCAGACATTAGGAACAGTATTTTTCAAGATGTTTTAAATGATCCCCAGTTACACATTCAGACCCTGAGCAAGGTCATTTTAATATTCTAATACAGCATGCTAATCTGCTATATTCATCTGTATAAGTCAGCTAGTGAATGATGCCTACTGGACAGGACAGTATTTGATGTGTTGAGCTATAGAGAAACTAAGAAAATTATGTTTCCTTTTAAAAATGTGGGACAGTTGTAATTTTATTGGAAAAGTGACATCATACCAGAAAATTTAGCTCTAGCAAGTCTTTGTAACTAGAATCCTTATTCAAGTCTATCAGTCATTGGGGATTTTTCCACTTCTTCTGTTATTTAAAGCTGTAACAGTATTCAGTCTTTACAAACAAATCTGTTACAAACTACATTTCATTATGTTAAAATACAGTGTCAGAGCAAGCACTGAAATGGGACAGCCCAGCATGATGTTCTATACCGGTTTAAATGCTGGTTTATTGTGTTCCATTACGAAATTTGTATAGATGTTATGACTGCAAAGTCAAATAATAACTAGCTGAAAGAGGACAGGCAGAGAGTGACTTTGCTTTGCGTTACTTTGGACTTTTTCATCATTTTCCAGTATGACATTATGCATTATCTTTCTGACGCAGAACTGTAGTGAGGTGTTTTTTTAGCTGGTTCATGGCTTTTCACTGGGAGCCACATTCAGTACTGTGGTTCACTTAATTTAAGTAGGTTTATGCTTCTGTGAGCTATAAAGTATTTTAAAGCTGCTGGAAAGTGTGTGTAAATACCACCCTTAAAGTTTAGATTTCTTCTGATAGCAGAATAGGTCAGAACATTGCTGCTTTACTCCAGCAGAACACATATTCATAATCCAGGTGACATTTCCAATTATACTAACTTCGGTGCAAAATCAGAAGTTGGTATTACCTCAGCTTTCTTTATATGGTACCATTACTTGAGTGCTGAGCAGTGCAAAGGTAGTTTGAGAGGCAAATGGTGCCTTCATGTTTAATTACAAATTGCTACTACCATTCCCAATGTGGTGGATTGTTTTTTGCAGAAGAAAAGAGGAGTGTGTGGTTGTAGTTGGTGTCTTCTGGGTATTACTAATTCAGCAAATAATGCTTTAACCATTTGAACAAAAAATTTGAAAAGCTTGAACAAATATAAAATCATTGTGATTTGATGATTTTTCTTACACTGATGGCTTGCTTTGAAATTTATTAATTCATGTATTTTTAACTGTGTCCTTCATAAAAACATAAAAGTAAGGCAAAAACCCCCCTGGATAACCTTAGGCCAATTGCATGTTTAATTTGCATTTTCCTTAGAATCATGTCACAGTGAAAGGCTTTCCCATCTGTGCTACCACTGTCAAACTTCTTGGTAAATGAAGCAAAAAGTCTTTGCTCTCAGATCTCCAGCTCCAACCACACAACTGAATTGAAATGTAAAAAAAGCCAAAAATGAGCTGGCAGAGAAACTTTTCTTAAGAAATTTCTAGAATTTTAGGATGATTTGAACAAGCAGATTTTGTAGATCTGTTTGAGACTGTTTCAATCAATCAGACACAGCAACAGGCAGGAGGGAGGAGCAGAGGAAGCTCTGCGTTTTTGTTGAAGAAGTGGTTGAAAATTTTGTTCCCACATGGAGAAAACTGTCACTCTCACCTTCAGTGAAAACAATCTCAAGGGACTTAAAGCTGTCAGGAGCATATGCTTCCTCTGTCGGGGAATCTACATTTATTTCAATTTGAACTGAATAATGTAATCTGGAAATTAAACCCTTCTTAAATCCTCTTTCATATATGTGATGCAAATCTAGTTGAAGTGAAATTTACTGATTTGTATACAGATCCCATGTGAAACAGTGATACATAGATTATGTTTTCTTTTATTTCTGGTCAGAAGGGGAAAGAGAACTTGGAAGTGTGCACATGATAGATATTTTAACTTAGGAAATGCCATAACTTATTCAACCCATTTGCCATCTGTCTCAGAGAATGGAGAAATTATGATTCAAATTGTAAATTTTTCATTTGTATGTGGGATTAATGGGGATTAATTAAAAGAGCCTATGATTTTATGTTGTGACTATTCTAGTTGTGACTAGTCCTGAACAGACATTTTGATACTGCAGTGGTTCTTTGGCTTTACAGATTTACTTAAGGAGATAATTTGGGTCACTATTTAGGGGGTCACAGAATGTGAGAGGGTCAGAAGATACTGACTGGCAGATAAATAGATTGTCTCTGCTCATCAGAAACTTTTAGATAAGAAAAACTACATCCATAGAGTAGCAATCAATGAACCAGTGTCCAAATGAATCAATGTTCTGCAAAGGTCTACCTTGTTTATGATATAATATGGTATAATCCAGATATATCAATGACTATGTAAAATTGGCTGAAGGTGCTATTAAACATGGACGATACCAGGCAGGATTAATCAAATGTAAAAATGTAGTTTGGAAAGGAACTGACTATGTAGCAAATTGTTTGCAAAAATTTACTGGCTGAGTGGATTACATGAATGTGAATCAACAATGTGCTAATTCTGTTAAAAAAATAAATGCCATCCATGACATGTGAAATAACTTTTCTCCTTTGCCCAGTATTGGTAAGACTGTAGTGCTGTTATGGGCTCATCACTTCATTACTGATGTGCTAGAATCCAGAGGAGACTAGTGGAAACTAACAGATGTTTAAGAAATACACCCTATCAGGGAGAATTGAATGTGTTGCTTTATTCATCTGAAGAGGGAGACTTTCAAGTATTATTAAAAAAAATACAGCCTACTTACAAAGTGAAAAGGAATATTATGCTTCCTCTCCTTCGTGGATTGTGGAAGAAGTAAGAGATTCAGGCTTTACATTAGGAAAAAAAATGTTAGCACTAATTGCCAGGGGAGTTCTTCAGGCATCTTTGATAAACATTAGTTAAAATGAAGTAAGGATAATTGAACCTTGTAATAGATGCATAGAATTAATCAAGAGAATTTGGTCTTTCCAATCTGACTTACTGATGTTTCAGTGATGTACCAAGAGATGTACACATAAAAGTCAGGAGATAATGAGGATAAGAGAAGGGTTTAGTTGGGAGTCCGCAGTCCTTGAAAGACAACCTGGAAAGAAAAGTAACAAAAAATGATAGGTTGGGAAATTATGGGAAGTGAAATTATCAAAAGTCATACCTGCATCCCCAACTACTGGACTAGATTCTTATGTTGCTCCACTTTGATCTAGGAATGGGTGTATTTCCAACCTCGGATAATTTCAAAGCCAAGCTACTTCTCAATCCTTCACACTTGTAAGGAGCTGCCTGACTGCAGTTAATCACATGACTCTGGCAAACATGACAGATTTTGGTAGTTTTAGTACTATTAAAAGGAAGTAAGTGACTCCTTTAGCCAGCTGGCTGGGAAGTCAGGTCGTGTAACACAAGGAATCTGTGGAAATGTGTCTTTCACACAGAGGACTTCTTGTGTTATTTGGGTAAAAGCTGTTAAAGCTTTGCTGTCTGAATGCTTAAAATGAGAAGTTGTGAGATTTATACAGAAGTATAAACATGCAAATGTTGATGTTTAATGGCTGGAAGAAGGTATTGTAACTATGCTTTGGTATATATTGCATTAAACAAAGATGTGAATGAGATGACTTTGGCTATGAAAGGGCATGTCTTGGGGAGGGCATGTCAGTGTGACTAGTTAGGAATAAAGCTGTCCAGAGGAGCAGCAGAGCCTGCCAGAGGCCTTGCACTCAGGAGAGAGTTGGGCACCCTTCTCTGAGTAGTTTTTCTACTCTGTAGTTTTATTGAGTCTGTGACATCTCTTCTGTTATAACTTGTGCTGTAATCAGTGGCATTGCCCTGGCATACTGAGGCCAAAACTGAGGTAAGCAGGAATTAAAGGTAACTTTGTTTTATGTTCACAAATGTATGTTGACACTCTTCCTTCCACCCTCATCTCTTTTCAGGACTTCTGAGTGACGTAACTAATCATCATGTCTGAACCTGTTGCTCTGCGTAGTATCAAGAGATTGGGAGAGGATAACTATGCTTTTGATTTGGATGGAAAATGTAAGAACTTTATTCTTCAGTCACCTCCTTATTACATAAAGCATGTAAAATATGTGGTTGGTGGTGTAAGTGAAGAAAATAGTCTACAAATTATAAAGCAAATAGTCTGTGGAACAAATATAGACTTACGTGGTACCTGCTGTTACGGCTATGCTGCCCAGAAAACAACTTTTCTGTAAAAACTACGTATAACAATCCTTACTCATGGACAATAGTTACTTACCTACTAACAAGTTCTGAGGTATTTACATAGGTTTTTATAGGCACTTTAGTGTACAACTAAAAGACTGAAGAAAAAAAAGTCAAAAGTGCTGTCTCCTATGGTTTCCAGAGCTGCATTCAGCAAACACTCCTATCTATACTCATATTAGGCAGAATTCACATAAGCTAATGCAAAGCAAAGATCTGCATTCCTTCTCCTCATCACAGCTTGTCCAAGTTTTGTCCATTTTTCTTTGCAATGTGCATTTTTCCATTTTGCCAGTCCAAGCTACTTGATCTGTGATGTCTGTTACTCTTTTGAAAACTTTGCAGCTGCTGATTGATGCTAAATCTGCATTTCAAATCTATAATCATCCATTGTTTGGGTTATTACAATTATGTCCTATAGTACAACTCAATTTTTCTGAGCTATGGTTCCCTTTCAGGAAGCATGTATGAACTGACATTAGAGTAGTAGTCCTCGATCAGAGAGCATCCAAGAGAACTAGCTGAATATTAGCAAACAGTTTGCAATGAAAATGAGTTGACTTCTGGCAAATGTCCTGAATAATGTATTCAGTGTAAAACATGTCCCTGGCTATAGGTATTAGTGGAAATAAGATGTTTATAACTTAGGAATGATCAGATCTCATGGGGTTCTAGGGCTTATGTTTCACGTCTACAGAAGATTATGTACTTTAACAATAATTATTAACTAGACTGTGCCTTTATTTTCCCTAACAGGTAACAGCTTCAAGAAATCAGAGTAAGTCATGTACATGAATGGAACAATCAATATTTCTAGGAATATTTGAAGAAGTTAATGTCATTGGATCACATTGACACATTGATAGAATATATGGCTTTTTAAAAAAAACCCTGTTCTCTAGCAGCTGAACTGCTTTATTTGATACAACTTAAACAGATAGACCAAAGCAGTCCTAGAAACATTTAAAAACATGAATAGCAGGAAAATATGGTCTTCATCTGTCTTCAGTGCTTTTAGTTTGAGAAATTAGTTTTCCAGTAAATTTAATCAATCTTGATTAATTCCTGTTAAAGCTTAGCTGTGAGATTTCAAAACAAAAAAAATTAGCTCACTTCATTTGAGCTCAGATTTTAAGATTTAAACGTAGAATTCTGTATAGACTGAAGTTGAAGTGATTTAGAGAACCTGACTTTCAGCTATAACCAGAGATATGAATGGGATTGTGAGCCTCCTCCTTCCTAGACCTTTGGACAACTCTGTAGCAGACTGGACAATCTAATGGGTGCTGTAGTTTGGGCCAGCTCTTTCTGACACAGTGTACACAGTCTGAGAGCTACTCCTAAAATGGGGAAAGTAAAGCATCTCTCAATTTTTGTCTTTGTCAGGTTGCCCATCCAAGAGAGCACCAGCTCAGTATTCAGGGTCCACCATGTGCTCCCACATATCTTGAAACCAAAGTTCTGTTGGACTTTCATATGTAACACATATAGGGTCTTACCAACCTGAAGGAAAGCTTTCTTCGGACTGTCTAGGATCTGATTTCTGAAAAAAGTTCATGACAAATCTAACTTGAATTAATTTGTTGAATTAAAAAAACCAAAGCAAAACAAGGAAAACCCAGCCCAAAACAGAACAACCCACCACAAATAGAATATCCCTACTCATTCATCAGTGAATGTACAGAGCCTGATGATTATTACTTGCTATGTATGGATCCCATCCATAATGGTACAACTAGTCCTTTTGATCCTAACTGATCACACATAATGTGAGAAGTGAGGAAAAAAATCCCAAGTACGGTAAAGTGATAGATTCTACTTCACTATGGCAATATAAACATATAAGCAATATAAGAAGGAATGGTGGTGTGGTTTAACCCCAGCAGCAGCCAAGCCCCACACAGTCACTCACTCACTCCCCCACCAGCAGAATCAAGGAGGCAATTAGAAGGGTAACAGCTAAAAAACTCATAGATTGAGAAAAAGACAGTTTAATAGGGAAAGCAAAAGTCATGCACACAGGCAAAGCAAAACAAGAAAGTAGTTCACTGCTTCCCATGGGCAGGAGGTGTTCAGCCATCTCCAGGAGAGCAGGGTCCCATCATGTGTAACGGTTACTTGGGAAGACAAACACCATCACTCCAAACATCCTACATTCCTCCTTCTTCCCCCCACTTTATATACTGAGCTTCATGTCATATGGTATGGAATATCCCTTTGGTCAGTTTGGGTCCCCTGTCCTGGCTGCATCTCCTCCCAGCCTCCCATTCATCCCCAAATTCCTTGTCAGTGTGGCAGTATGGAAAGCGGAAAAGGCCTTGGCACTGTGTAAGCTCTGCTCAGCAATAATATAAATATTAGTATTATCAACCCTGTGTTCAGCACAAATCCAAAACACAGCCCCATACTAGCCACTGTGAAGAAAGTTAGCTGTGTACCAGACAAAACCAGCACAAAGGGGAACAGTGTCTTAAGGAAAAGATTAGCAAACAATTTGGATGGTAGGTTTTTCTCTAACTGACCTCAAAGAACCCACAATCCACATTATAGCAGCAGTATTGTGTTGTGTAACGGTTACTTGGGAAGACAAACACCATCACTCCAAACATCCTACATTCCTCCTTCTTCCCCCCACTTTATATACTTCATGTCATGTGTAACGGTTACTTGGGAAGACAAACACCATCACTCCAAACATCCTACATTCCTCCTTCTTCCCCCCACTTTATATACTGAGCTTCATGTCATATGGTATGGAATATCCCTTTGGTCAGTTTGGGTCCCCTGTCCTGGCTGCATCTCCTCCCAGCCTCCCATTCATCCCCAAATTCCTTGTCAGTGTGGCAGTATGGAAAGCGGAAAAGGCCTTGGCACTGTGTAAGCTCTGCTCAGCAATAATATAAATATTAGTATTATCAACCCTGTGTTCAGCACAAATCCAAAACACAGCCCCATACTAGCCACTGTGAAGAAAGTTAGCTGTGTACCAGACAAAACCAGCACAAAGGGGAACAGTGTCTTAAGGAAAAGATTAGCAAACAATTTGGATGGTAGGTTTTTCTCTAACTGACCTCAAAGAACCCACAATCCACATTATAGCAGCAGTATTTCAAGGAGTTGCTTATGAAACAAACTATAAACCTTTAGATAATTTTAACACAAACTCTATTCTAGACCCTGTCTAAAATTTAAAAGAACCATCAAATTAGTGACTCCAAAGAAATCTGAAAGAAACAGCTTGTCTCTTAAAAACCTGGGCAAAATATGTCAAATAAAATGTAATTTCAGAGAAACAGCCAAGAGAATATCAGTAATAATGTAAAATCGTATCCTTTCTGCCAGGAATTTCCAGATATATGAAGAACCTTTTCTAGAGAAGAAAAGTGAAAAGTGAGTTAAGTTCAATTTTTTACAATATCTTTGTATATGGAACAAAATATGTACTAAAATACAAGTTTATAATTTTATGTTTTGTTTTGAAGGTCATCAGAAAAGAAAGAAAACAGTATTCGTGTTGGCTTCTTTCAGCTGGTAATGAAAGCAATGGCTATAAATGTTTGATGTGTATTATGCTCCAGAATAAGTGACAATAACCTATACAGTTGTTTTAGGGAGTAGCTGTGACTAAGACAAAGGATTGAATTATTTGGCCTGAAATTCTGACACTAAATTCAATGGGAATTTAATGGAACTCTCTGTCATTTTGTCAGCTTGGTATTGATTAACAATATTTGTGTCAAAATTGTCTACTAAGCACCTTATATTAAACCTAGAGGTAGATATGTGGAAATGAGGTAAGATGCACAGCAGGGATCTAGGTGACCTTGGCTCGTTCTTATTTCTGCCAAAAATTTACTGTGTGATATTTGGCAGATAATTTAGCTCTCTTGTAATTGCTCCATCAGTATTAGATTTGGTAGCTATAGAAACTTGTGGATGCACAATACCATATGGTATGTCTAGCCTTTGAAGGAATTCCAGAGGGTGCATCTAAAGTTTAAAATTAATGGAGTTGAGATATCCAAGCCAGAGGTCTTATTACTTCTGTTTGGCATGTAGTCTAGGCAAGTAGACTGTAGTCTGTCCAAACTAACATGGGCCTGTCAGTAGTACTGGGCTAGTGCAGTTACATCCATTTTACTGTACCTGGCTAAGCATCTCAGCTCCTAGTAGGGTGGAGAGAACAGTCCGTCCACATGGAGGGCTATGTCTGTCAAGCAGAGAGGTCTGAATTCTGTAGCCTGTTTTGCACAGTGTGTTTGGTTCAGATGTGTTGAGAGATCAGATATCACATATCTGACCATTTTCTGTGTGGGTTTTTTTAATCAAGGGAATTCCTCACTTCTTAAGGTTTGCAAAACAATGAGAGTGTTACAGTTTTCTTCTGACTTCAGTTTTGTTTTTGCAGAAAGACTTATTTATTTCTCTTTTGTGTTACTACCTGACTTGTTTTTCCCTTTATCTCCTCTTTGCCCTAATGTCCCTTTTCCATACATGCTGCAAATTTCCACCCTTCTCTTAGATGCATTATAGCACCCACAGAACCTGGGCAGGTTCTTCAGCAGGCTCTGACGCATCGTTACACTCCCATATGCTATACATTTCAAAATGTATATCACTTGATACTGACATTTTATATGGTCAGTTTAATCTATGTATTTGTATATGACTTCACCCTGAGAATCAGACTTCACACAATCATGACAAAGGTAACTTAAGTTGCTGTATCTTTGCCGCGTCACCAGCTACATGTGTGTATGCTCTTGGCCCACAGCAAATGTAAGGTAATAGGACTTAGCTCAGTCCTTTTTTTTTACAGCATGCTGTATCTTATTTCTACACATTTCTCCCAGAGAAAGAGCCAATGCACAATTGCCTGCCTAAGCTGATGTATTTTAGAATATTAACTATGAGAACTTGCTCTGAGATATTTAGTTGACTTTCTACCACAGCACCTCAGGCTTTTGGGAAATTGGCTGACTCTATTCAGAGGCCCTGCATAATGCCCTAAGGCTTTTTTCTCCCTTCTCTCTCCCTCTGTCTCCACAGGAAATCTGCAAATCAGACTATATATATGAATTATAGTTACTATTCTTAATCTCTTAGCTAATTTCTGGAATGATGATAATGTGGAATGATACCGAGCTATTAACGCTATACGATAATACATTCATTCACGTGTTAAACAATCATAATAATTTATGTAGCTGTAATTGTAGATGCAATTAGATTAGATTGGAGAGAGAGATTTGTCTTCTCTTTGTATTGAAGATAATTCTGAAATTTAAAGACAATGGTTTTGTATCTGATCCACCTAATTAATGATTTATCAGTATACCAGACTGCCTGTCAACAGACACCACATGTTTTTCTTTTCTCTTTAGTTTAGATTTTCTTCATCTAAGGAGATTTTGTTGATGGCTGTTGGTAGTTTATGTGCTATTGCTCATGGAGTAGCCCAACCAGCTGTGTTGCTTGTCTTTGGTGCAATGGCAGACACATTTATTGAATATGACATTGAAATGCAAGAGCTTAAAGACCCAAACAAGACATGTGTAAATAACACTGTAGCGTGGATTAATGGTACTATTCATCACAATGAAAAGAATGCCACAATAAGTTGTGGGTAAGTAATGGATGTATTTGTTTTCCATTGTTCTTGTAGCTTGTCAGAGAATGCATTGCTAGTGAAGGTCCTGTTCAGCCTTTACATCTATTCATAAGGCAGAAAAGGGGCATGGTTCTTTTTACAGAGTCCTATTTCTGAGCTGGAGGTATTATTACCTGGAGGGACACAAGGTCAGCTTGGATCTTGGTCTTTCAGCTACAGACGTCACCAAGAATATTTGATGCTGATGGTTGTTCTGATAACAGATGTATCCGTTATACTTCTAAGTTCATTAACATGTTTTCTCTGATTACACTATAGGTAATAACGCCTTCTGGTCATTCTGGTTAGGACTTAGTTACCCATAGGTGCCTGCTGACTTCTGAGCAAGTTAGTTAAACTTTAGTCATTAATAGAAATGAGCATTTCTAGAATACAATTTATCTCAGCTTATGGGGGATGTCTAGGGCAAATCAGATGAACTGCCCAGCAAGACTACCTATTCCTTTCCATTAACTATAATAAATGCAGTTGAGATGATTCATTCAGATACAGATATCTGTCAAAGCCAAATCTGAACCTGTAACCTTTCCTAAGGATCATTTTTCAGTGCATCTGTTCAAGAGTTTTCTAATCTCTGAGTGACATTTAATTAGATATTTAATTAAAATTAAAAGTTACTTGTCTAAAGGTCTCTGAAATTCAGAGCACATGGGACATGATTCACATTCCTAGATGTAGGTTACTGGGGCCAAATTCTTTTGCTCCAGGCTGTCCAAGCCAGCCCTCTGAGATCAGCTGGCAGATAGAATACAGGACATGCTAAAGGCCTCTCTTCCCCTGAAGCCACAACTACACACCAGGCAGGATACATTAATAGAACCATAGACTGGTTTGGGTTAGAAGGGACCTTAAAGATCATCTAGTTCCAACGCCCTGCCATTGGGCCGGGACACCTTCCACTAGGCCAGGTTGCTCAAAGCCCCATCCAAACATTTCCAGGGATGGGGAATCCACAACTTCCCTGGGCAGCCTGTTCCTGTGTGTCACCGCCCTCACAGTGAAGAATTTCTTCCTAATATTTAATCTAAACTCATCCTTTTTCAGTTTGAAGCCATTGCCCCTTGTCCTGTCCCTCCATGCCCTTGTGAAAAGTCCCTCTCCAGCTTTCTTGTAGGTTCCTTTCAACTACTGAAAGGTCCTCTAAGTACTCCCTGAAGCCTTCTCTTCTCCAGGCTGAACAGCCCCAAATCTCTCAGCCTGTCTTCATAGCAGAGGTGCTATGGAACAAAGCTATGGTGTAAGCTTTGCATATTATTATGCAAATGATACTTGAATCGACTTTAGCAGCCCTCATTTCTCCCCATAAAACACTGGTGAAATCTGTGTTATTAGTTGGTATAATGGCATAAAGCAAGTACATTCAACATGCTGGGCAGCTCCATGGAAACACCTTCTCACCTGTGCTGTTTCAGAATGTGCAGTCTGGTGGGGTGTCCCAGAGACCTCAGGGCTGCTACAGAATGGTGGAGCATTTTCTGTACCTGCCAGCTCCCTACTCCTGTGCAAAACTTGCTTGTCTGCCAAGATAAAACATTTGGAAGGCTGTGAAGTGACAGAACCTGGGGACACCTACTGTATTGATGTATTTTAAGTGCTATTCCACAGAGCTCTGATAATTATTTGAATTCAGGGCACATTGTTTGGTAATTGGGTGAAACCAGACTGGTCTCTTTAGACTAATATAACCCCATGCAGGAGTCAGGACTGATTGACTGGCCCAGCACAGCTTTTGTAATGAAGACTGCTGCTGTGTTAGTGTGATTCTTAGGTGAAATTATTAGGAAGGAAACCAGTCACTGCTGGCAATAACCTCAGTACTGGGAAATGATGCCTCTGTTAGCAAAACAAGCTGGCTTGCCAGCTGACCTGACTCGAACTTGAGGAAACACCAGGGTAGAAATCTGTGAGAAACAAAATAGTATTGCTAATTCTTTTTTTTATTTCCTTTTCCTTTTTCAGGCTGCTGGACATTGAAAAAGAAATGACCAGGTTTGCAGGCTACTATGCAGGAATTGGCTGTGCCATACTTGTATTAGGATACCTCCAGGTCAGTATTTTGTTTTCTATTTTGATTTCAAAGTTTAAATCACTATATAATTAAGTTAATAATAATTATGTTCCTTTTAACTGCTTATCTACCTACTTGAGCAGAATTTTCAGTTCTCATTCTATTGGCTGAAACACGTTAGCTCAGGCTACATTAGAGCTCCTTGGATTTGTGCACGCACACCTTTGTACAAGAATAAGTTTTACCCAATGAGGTAAATGCACACTGCTTCTTTCACACCACAAGCAATACTTGCTCAAGTGTGGCTGAATCCATACGCACTCCCAAAATAAATGGAAGGGCATGCAGATTCCCAGTAGGCATCTCAACTGTGTTGAGCTCTGTGTTTCTATTATAAAGAGATTACAGAGAAATACTAGTGTAAAACTAGTGTAGAGAAGAATCACACCCTACATATTCTGTAGTAATAGTTCAGTCCTTATAACAGAGATGAGTCACAAGCTTGGACAATTCCTGCACAATATGCTAAAGGGTCCACTGCTTTTGAAGCTATTTATAATTACAAAAAAAACACTGATTATTCTCCTCCCTGAAAAATATCCCAATTTTCCTAAGGTCAGATGGCTGCCATCCCTGTATTAGAGTTGAAGATGGAAAAAATATTGTCCATATGACATTCACATAACATAAATAATTTAACTTGCCTCTCCTCTCATCCTATCGTAACTAAGACAAATGCTTGATCCAGATAAAATTTTTGGATTATTTAAAGATCACAACAACTATTATGTCTATTTAGCTAGAATGTATTTCACCTGAATAGTAATTTTATCTATAGTCAAATTGCTCTTTCCCATTTTAGCCAAATTGCTTTTTCCCATTTGCTGGGAGTAGAAAGACTTTTTACTGCAATTTATCAGCCACTTTATGCTTTTCCCAGATCTGCTTTTGGGTTATGTCTGCAGCTCGTCAGATACAGAAAATCAGGAAAGCTTATTTCAGGAAAGTAATGCGAATGGATATAGGCTGGTTTGACTGTACATCTGTAGGAGAACTGAATACCCGAATTTCTGAGTAAGTAATCTAGAAAAAACACATGCTGCATAAAACAGACTGCAATTCCTTCCAAACACCAGAGAATGCCAATAACCAGGTGTTGACAAACCCCTTCTAATGTAAATACAGCTATGTTCCTGGGAGCAGCAATGAGACTGATAATCTCCCCCATCCTTGAACTGAGTGCCATAACTGTTAAACCACAATGATTTTCCTCTTGTGCCTTGTCTGTCAGTAAATGTGGGATTCTTTATGGATGGGTTTTAGGGTGGGCGTGTTTCCCCCTCCCTTCTTCTGTGCCCAGCTCTTTCAGAACTGTCCGTAATTTGGCTGCCAGTGCACACTCCCTGAGTCTGGAGATGTTGGTTTGAACCCCCTCTCACTTCCCAGAAAGGAAAATTACATTAGTGGCACCTCTTGTGCCTTGTCTGTCAGTAAATGTGGGATTCTTTATGGATGGGTTTTAGGGTGGGCGTGTTTCCCCCTCCCTTCTTCTGTGCCCAGCTCTTTCAGAACTGTCCGTAATTTGGCTGCCAGTGCACACTCCCTGAGTCTGGAGATGTTGGTTTGAACCCCCTCTCACTTCCCAGAAAGGAAAATTACATTAGTGGCACACTTTCCTTGGCTTTTGA